TTTAACACAGAGATTTATATGTGATTTCATTCCACCTGGGATAAGCTTGTTTTCAGTCTTGTAAGAAGCCATTGGTTATAAGGATTGAGAAGAGAGAGATTCTAATGGAGCACTTGAGTAATGAATAAAAAATGGCCTTTTCCCCCCCTTCTCTCATAAAAAAACATTTTCCCATAGAGAAATCAAAGTTTTACTGTGGATGGTATAACTTTGGCCCCGAGCCCAGTCAGAATTACTTGTGCCACCTTAAGACTGTAAAGCCTAAAGCTACTGACTTTGCATTGCAGTTATTTTAAGAGAATTGTCACGCACTGGTCAGTCCTGGCAGAAGAACAACCTTAAGTGGAGAACCAATATATCTCAAAGAAGTATTTATAGAAAGAAACTGAGACCGAGGCTTTCAAGATGTTTTGCAGCTTAGTAACTGTGAATTAGCTGGGGACTAAGATACATCTCACTCAACTATTTTGACTTTATTAGCTGTGTTGGAATGATGACGAACAAGCTTTCATAATAAGTTTGCATCTCTGTGCTGCAGTTTCTGTCCTAATGCACTGAAAACAGCATCGCTCACTGGGAATGAGTGTCTCATTCCCATTATTGTCTTAGAGCAGTGTTTCTCAAACTAGGGGTCCTGACCCAATGGGGGTCAGAAAGCTATTGGAGGGGGGACATGGTATTGCCACCCTTTCATCTGCATTGCCTTCAGAACCAGCAGCAGTACAGATGTAAGGGTGGTATAGTATAAGAAAGGGGGATCATGACTGCATGAAATATTTTCAAAGGGGGGGAGGGCTAGCAAAAAAAGGTTTGAGTCTCCCTGTCTTGGAGGACTCCGAAAGCTGCTACAATTGATGAGTGTATCCTGATCAACTGAAATGCCTCTTCTTCATCCTTTTACTCTCACTTTCTTGATTGTCTTAACTTAGGGAATGGTTAAAATTAAATTTCAAGTGTGAAACACCCACTTGGTTCCTTCTGGTTCCCCCTCCCCTCTCACTAATAATATTCATAACTACATAAAAGTGAAGAAGAATCTTCAGAACTTAATAAAAACCAATTTTCTGAAACTTGCCTCATTAAGCCCAGACAACTAGTCTGAGCTACAAACAAGTACTCTAGCCTTATTCAATTATTGCCTCATTGGAAACAGACAGTGTTAATTAGAGCAACATGGCTCTTAAGCCGCATTATTGCTTGCACTTGAAATGTGTGAAAGTGGTGGCTTTAAGAAGGGATTTAAATTTGGGGAGGAAAATACTGTCTGCTGCCTGACTAACCTATGTACATCCCCCATAGTAGTAGTAAGCTGCAGTTTGATGCAATTCCCATGAATGACATTCTGCCCCACTTAAGAGTCAACTGGGCTATCCTCCCATGCAGATAAAGCTGCGAGCAGCTCTAGAGCTATGCAGTAAGATGTAGGTAGGAGATAACATGCAGGAATTGAAACAAAGCCCAATTATCTAAAACATCTCCATGTTTCCATTCTTGTACTCAGCCCTAGGAGTGCTCTCCTCCTAGGATAACCTGCCTTCTTTAAAAATTAATTTGGATGACTTCGACCTTAGTTCACTCCTTAATATGTAGTCTCCTCTCCACTTTCTGGTTGGTCCCAATGTCATTCCTTATTTGTCCGCTGTAGGCCCCCCTTAGCTGCTTCTAGCATATGGCCTGTCCCCACCCTATCTGGCGCTTTGTCCAATTTTGGTTGCCCTGTAGCTCTTCAGTACTCAATCCCCCACTCTGTCCACTATCACCTTCCTCCTTTTGCCTGCAATTTCCATTCTCTGAACCACATGTTCTTAGTCAGTTTCCTCTCTGCACCTAAGATGAGCCTGTGTTGGGGAGGGGGGAGACAGAGGCAGCAATAAGGAAATGGTTGCAGTGAAAGTGTGCGGAAGTGGGTGCCAGTTTCTGGGTCTTACTGTATCTTTCACAGTAAAACTCGAAAGCGGGTTCATTCATGTAGCAATTGGCCATGATAACATTGCCCTTTTCATGTTAATAACTGTCACTGATGCATCAATGGAAAACATTCAGAACTTTTTTGTTAAGGCATGCAGTGTGGATCCAGCAGCTGACTGCGGATAATAATAGGAAAAGGCAGGCTCCTTTCAATAGCTATTAAATAATTGGCTGGAAATTGTCATCGCCACATACTTGCCCTGCCTGAGAATTAAAACCTCTAAGACAAGGGGCACGTTTAGAAGTCTCTATTCCTTCTGCATATTAAGTCATGTGTTTCTGTATTTCCTCTATCTATCTGATATGTTTCTATGCTATTTGGTATGCTTGAGCCTGTCTTTGAAGTGCCAGAGTCATTTCTTCTGAAGTTGTCCTGCATTTATCACCAGAATATGTTAGGCCGGGTAACATGGTCTAATCATCTAAATATGTGGCTGGGAGTCAGGAGACCTGGTGTCTGGCCTGAGTCCCTGTGTAAGTCTTTTAGCCAGTCTTTACCTCAGTTTCCCATCTGTAACTTAGGAAAACATTTCTGATCCCGTTTGTGCAAAATGCTTTGAGATCAGCGCTGTATAATTAATTTACGGAATCAAAGGTGTGTTAGGCACTTTTCAGTATAAGTAAGACCTTCTCTCTGCTCTGAAGGTTTCTGTCTAATGTCAGACATGATGCAACAAAGGAGGTGATGAATTTAACAAAATAGTAGTGAGGAGTTGTGTAAGAAACAGAATGGGCATCAGTCAGACTGCGTGAATATTCAGCAAAGGCTAGTTAAAAGAAAACTAGATGTCACACAGGAGAGGTATATGGAGGTTTTGCGCAAAAAGGAAACATACACACTTTGTTTTTGCGCAAAATCCCCTTGCGCAAAAATGGAATGAAAGAGTATGCAAATGAAGCATGAGAAAATGCTAATCCATGCTTCATTTGCATTGCCTCTTTTGGCAAAGCATGTAGTATAGACAAATCCTGTCTTTTTAATTTCAAACTCAACCTATTCTGCTCTGAGACTGCCAACGCTGTAAAAAGGCAACACCAGATGAATTACACTGCTGGCAGAACTTAATGTTAATGTCACATTGAGTGCACTGGGCACCTATTTTTAGGTCCGTTTTAAACTAGCCAAGATTTTTTGCTTTCTCAAATCTAAAAAGAATGTTTTCTGGTCTGAAGCTGCAGGGTGAGAGGGATATTTGGAGAGGACATTATTCTATAAAAAGAGTAACACTCATCCTAGCATTTGTCCAAGCAAGTGGATTGATTTGATTAGTGATAGAAGGGTTGGGTCCTTTTGTCACTGTCCCTCTTTAATTGCTAGCCCACAATTGCCTTTTAAACTGCATTCAAAAATGTAGCTATACCCATTTTGACCAAAATCTCTTTATATCCCAGATTTGTACTTTATTGTGGACTTTCCAGATCAGGTATGATACTGCCTCTGCCTCGGGCAAAGGCCATTTCTAGCAGGCACTCAGAGCACTGACTACAGGCCGTCCTTGTTAAAAGTCCAAGATACATTCCAAAAAACTTGGACTTATAGGAAAAAAAACTTCGTGGGGAATTTTTTTTCCTTCAGCTGACTTTCATTTGCACTGATTGTTTTGATTTTGGTTTGGTTTGGTTTTTTTGTGTGACTTAAGAGTGGGGAATGAGAGGACTTATAATGCATCAGTTCTTATAAGTGTCAATGACTTAAGTGCGAAATGGATGTGTTCTGGGGCAACTTATAGCAGGGGTTCTCAAACTTGTGATACCGTGACCCCCTGCTCTGTTGTTCGCAACCCCCCAGGGAGTTGGGACCCACAGTTTGAGAAATGCTGACTTATAGCATGGACACCCTGTAGTTACGTGTAAAGGGGGTGTGTTCACTGCATACAGTCCCTGCAAAGTTGACCCCCTATTCCCTAAAATGCAGCAAAGAGACTCCTGATTTAATGAACTTCTGATAATTTTTCTGATGTATATTTGTATGCGCTCCCCTCACCCCAAGATCGTCAATAAATTAGGATTGTACTTGAGGCCTGCTCTGAGTCAAATTTTAAACTGGATTCTTTTGCAACCATTGTAGTTATTGTACAAGTGTTATGGTTGCTAGGTCAAACATAATTTCATTTTGCAATGTACTAATGAATGTTCTGCAAAAGTATGTGACCACACTAAAATGGAGTTCTACTTTGACTTAAGAAAGATCAGGAATGTGTATTCTAATCTATCATTGAAATAAGACTTTATCTTTCTACCTGTTCTGTTTTAGAATCCTAGATTAGTATTTCTTCTAGTGAACGTTACTTTGTCCTACAGGTCTATCCTGTTACCCAGAGATAGGGATTTTTTTCAAAAGGGCATTATTAAGGGCCCAAAAGCAAGCTAATCTGTTGCAACAGATTTAACCCTAATTAAATCGTCTTATAATATGAGCTATGAGAGAAGGCTGAAAGTATTGGGCTTGTTTAGTTTGGAAAGGAGAAGACTGAGAGGAGACATGATAGCGGTTTTCAAGTATCTAAAAGGGAATCACAAAGAGGAGGGAGAAAAATTGTTCTCCTTAGTCTTTGAGGATAGGACAAGAAGCAATGGGCTTAAACTGCATAAAGGGAGGTTTAGATTGGACGTTAGGAAAAACTTCCTAATTGTCAAAGTGATTAAACACTAGAATAAATTATCTGCGGGGGTTGTGAAATCTCCATCTCTGGAGATATTTAAGAGCAGGTTAGACAGACACCTGTCAGGGATGGTCAATTCTAGGTGGTGCTTGGTCCTGCCGTGGGGGCAGAGGACTGGACTCGATGACCTCTCAAAGTCCCTTCAAGTTCTCGTGTTCTATGATTCTATAGAAAACAACAGGACAAAACCTATTAGAATGAACTATTATATAATTATAAGTAGAATACTTGTATTTGCTAATGAATATTTTTTAATTCTACCATGATTTTTTGACATGTAACCTGAAGATCTAATTAGTGGTAATTGTCCTGGAAACTTGACTGTTGCCGTGTCTAAGTTTATCTTGTTCTAAAATATGTTTCTTGTAGGTAATAATCTCGATGCTATCCATGACATAACAGTGGCATACCCTCAAAATATTCCACAAACAGAGAAGCACCTACTTAATGGAAACTTCCCAAGGGAAATACATTTTCACGTTCATAGGTATCCAATACAGACTCTGCCAACTTCCAGGGAAGAGCTGCAGATCTGGTGCCAGAAGCGTTGGGAAGAGAAAGAAGAGAGACTCCAATTGTTCTATGAAGGTGATAAGTACTTTGATGTAACAGGGCGAAGCATAATCCCACCTTGTAAATCCGAACTCAGGGTCCTAGTGGTTAAATGCATCTCGCTTCTGTATTGGACATTGTTCACACTAGCTGTGTTTGTGTTGCTGTACCTGTACAGCTTTGTGAGATGGTATTGTGTGACTGTGACTGTCATTTTTGTTGTTCAACAAAAAATATTTGGTGGGCTGGAAATAATTGAACTTGCATGTCATCAATATTTTAATAAACGACAGAATGGATATAGAAAAGTGGAATAACCAGTCTAGTGCTATAATGGGAGAGAAAGGTAATGGATGTTTTTGAGACTTATTACAGACTTTGTAAACAGGGAAACATTTTTGCATGAGAATTGTAAGTCTTTTTTTACTACCGCCATTATTTGTTAAAGACACTTTGCACTTATTCTGTGAAAAAGGAAAAAAAAAACTAGTTACTGCTACATGTGAAAATGGTAATTTTTATCTTTGAATGTAATTTCTATATTGCTCTTGCAAGCAGCTAGCGACTGCATCGTACTGTACCTATGAAACAACTTGCTGGATTATTTAACAATCATTAGGATGTTAATAAATGTGATGTACACTGAACTTTTTAAAACTGCAGGTCCAAACTGTCCAGCTAAGGGAGACAGATCTATGATTCCTGTACAATCATGTTGGCACCAGGCTTGCTTCTTTAACAACTTACCTGTGTGCACATGCACACAGTCCTAACATTTTCAATTTTATTTTAAACCCTTGTCTCTCAAACTTTCCCAAACAAGACTTAGTATACTGCTACCCAGCCTAGGTGAAGATGAGAAACTGATGTGGATTCTAATTTGGGTCTCATTTTGGGGTGCAGATAAGGCTATCCATTCTGTCCTAGTGTGACTCCAAATTGATTTTTTGCAAGACCTGCTTTGCTGTTGTGGGTATGTTGTATTTATTCACACCTGGCATCTTTTTAATTTCTCCCTATAGAAGAAACATATCTGAAAACAAGTGTTTTTCATACAAGGTGAGAGGTCTTGAGTTTGAAGCTATTACTCTCGCTTTTAAAATGTTTCCTTCATTATTTTAATTTTCAGCATTCACCATAGGAAGACTGATGTGCATATAGAAAAAAACAGCTCTAAAATTCAACCAAGGCTACAATTGGTTATCTATAGTTATACGGCAAGAAAAGTGTCTCAGCCTGTCATAGTACAAGTCAGTTAAGCTACAGTATTTCTCTTCCCAAACGATATCCTTCTTGACCAGCCAATCACATCATTCCTCTTTAATTCAGGCCACTCCTCTGCATAATCTTTCACTTGTTAGACTCTTCCATTGAAACTTTATGCAAGATCCTTTCCTTTTATGTGGCATTGGTGGAAAGCCAGAGAAATCAAAGGATATAGGCCTTTCAAATCCTTACAAGGTGGAGGGGGCTGAATCTTTCTGATGTGGTTCGGTCCTAGTCACCTAAGAGGAATAACATTCATAGCGGCATAGTATACGGAATAAAAAAATTCCAGCACTTAAATTCCTGTGCTTGACTTTGGCAGTCAGCCTCAAAACAATGTCTTGCTTTGTGTATTCTTCCACTGTCATAGAATACTCCTTACTTACTAAACACTTTCTATTTGCTACACAAATGACTCTGAAGTTGCTTGTGCTATATTAAGTTAGTGTGGCTGAGCATTTGGAATTATATTACTTTGAAATGCAGCTATGTGGCACGAAGAGTTTGTCATATAGAAAGCTAAACTGCTCAAATATTGGTTTACCGTGGCACACAAATCATTTTTCTATTAAATCTCAATATTAGGCATGTTCTTCAAAGCATTTGAATCTAGGCCCACTGTTGGGTGAAATTGCCTACCTATATTTAACTGTCCCTTCTAAGGTGACAGCTGTTTTTAATCCCTGCTCATAGTGACTAATTAGTTATTATGCACAAGTACTTGAAGCCATCTGTTTTACTCCATGACATTTTTTAAAATCTTTTTTCTTTTCTAAAAATGGCTTCTAATTTAGGCTTAAGTCTCTTAACTTCCTCTTGTTATATTTAGAAATGTGTGAATAAATAGTTTGATGGCTAGCATTGTATTGTCGTGAATACAGCAGAAAAAGAAGCTCTTTCCACACTAAATGGGATGTTTTTAATGCAGTTCTACTATAGAAAAAGTATACCTGCTGTTTACATTTATATACCAACATTTTATTTACGATAACACTAAATTTTGGTTTAACTCCCTGCACTTTCAGCTATCTCAAATCCTGCAATGGGAGAAAAAAAATCTTTTTATATCTAATTTAAAGGTGATCTAAAAGGCTTTTTTACCTGTCCAAGGCTTGAGCTGCTCATTCACACCTGTAATAACAATGATACTATAAAGGATAGTAGCCCTTAAGGGGATACTATCGATCCCATTGAGATCAAATTTGTAATATACCCTTAATGTTGGAACCATCCTCCAAATTATAACTTGAATTTTTCTTGTGTAATCACCATTTGCCTTCTTTTAATGAAGAGCCACAAGGGTCAGGCCCTGTAAAACACTTCCTGTTAAATTGCCTGACTGTGCATGGTAAGTACAAACCCCATTTCTCACAAGCAAAGTTATTACTCAGGCTGATGTACAAATGTTGAAGTTAACCAAAAAGTCACATCTAGTTTCAGATCAATAAGAGATATAAGGAGGAGAGATTATTTGAAGCCCAGGTAGTGTAAAAAAAATGGAGAAAATTGGTGGAAGGCAGGAGAAGCCTTGCTCAACAGATCTAATCAGAAAATGGGGAAAACTCTCTGGGGAAATTATCATTTTCCTCTTTATCAAAATGTCTCTCTTATCTGGCCAACTTCCAAGAGACTTTTTATTCCCCCTTGTTTGTTTGGCTGAAGCTCCATACATAAAGAGGGCCCAATTGCTCTCTCTTTAACATCTCTTGCCTTTGAAATGTTTCTGTTGCTGCTGGATTGGAAGACTGGTGTTCTGGGAATTAACACACAACTGAGTTTTCAGGGGAAGCATATGGGCAGCAAGAGACCTCTCAGTTCATTAGCACAGTTTCTCAGAGCTATTGTTCTCTCTACTCCCAATGGCTATGTTCTGGTGTGTTTTACAATCACTCTACGGGGTTAACATGTCTGTTAATCTCACATTTCTTGAGATAAATAATGAGCTTAACTTGCCTTTTAGAGGTGCTTTTAATTTTCCTTAGTCAAATGTTTTCTTATCAGAATTGTGGGTCTCCTTCTCTTTGATCAGGCAGAGGTTGAACAGCTCACTCTGTGTTTGTTACCAGGCTCCTTCATCAGAGTGAGACACCGAGATCTTGTGTTGAATGTTCATAATACAGAAACCATAGGTGGGTCTGTACGGTGTTGTGTTGATCATACTAACTGTAGTGTCTAGTTTTGTGCACTACACCAGTCTCAGTTGTTTCCAAAAAGCAATCTGTGTTTTTATAGCTTCATTTTATAAGTACGTTGTAAGAAAACAAACACTGGGTTACCACAAATCCACAGAATAGCCTTAGTTTTCAAAGTCCACCGATACGTTAGAATGTTTGAGCCATGTATCTGTTAACTTTCTGTACAGCAACAATAAAGACTTAGCACATTCACGTGTCTCATTTGTTTTCTTGGGCAGAATTTCAGTTCTGTCAGGTGAAGGTATTCCATGTATATCTCTAAGAACAAACTTTCTCTCCCGTCCTACAGCCTTGTATTAACAGAGAGTGATTGCTGTTAAGGGCCACAGTCAAAGTGGTATGGCTATTGGGATATTTTATTATATCCCTGTTCAGTTAATAAATATGAAGTTGGACATACATACAATCTTGCCTAAATTCTTCCTTTTAACTTGTTTGTGGGAATCCAACACAAAACAATACAGAGTATACCACAAGCACAGCTCATTGTTCCCAGGACTGACATACCAACACTGCTAGGAAATAGCTGTGGCCTGGAAGAGCAGGCAGTCTGGGTATTGCATACAGAGAAGCATCCCATTTTAGATGTACCCTATGCATGAGAATTCAATGTGTTTTCATTATGGGATGTTAAAAGGGTCTGTCTAATGGTTACCAAAAGCATCCAGGACCAAACACAAAAAAAAAGTCTGGGGGAAACAATTTTTTTCAATTTTTTTATAACCATTTTTAATTCATTTTAACTTTTACAGGTAAATTGGTTAATGTACATTTGCAGAAAGTTAAATGGCTAGGTAGTAAGTGTTTGAGGAGATACATGGTGCTCTTCATATGAAACAAAGGGGTTGAATTTCTGTTTTAAGAACAAAACTCATCCTTAACCACAGCCATGACTGGTAGTTCCACAGCAGAGGCGTTCTGCCCTCTCTAGTAGCTCTATACTAGACAGAAAATGGAAGGAACAGGGACCTTCATAGCTATTTTGAAAACAGGTGTAAAATCTAATGACTTAGGCCTTTTTGATAGGTTCAGAGAATTCAAATAACTCAACAAAAAGCAATTGCTGCTATACCGTGGAATGGGTTGTCTTCTCTTCCTCCCTTTCAGTCTAGATTCAGATTTAAGTAGCATTTTGGGATGATATACAGATCATCTGCTTTACATGACATCAAGAACAACCGATGTAGCCAGGTTCCGGCTTTTCACAGCCCCAATCCCTTTTTACTAGTTAAAAATCCATGGTGCCAACTCAGTAACAGATGAGTCCTTTTATCCCTAGGAGCATCAGCTCTGACTGAATCTGCCTAAATCTGATGTTTCCCAGATGAATTGTTAAATTTTGATTTCTGCACACAGGAGTTGGCTACTTCCCAACAGGGGAGGGAAAAATTTGGTTTCCATTAGTTACCCAACCACAGGTATGTGCAAGAGAATTTTCAGTCAACTGACAGCTGAACTCCTAGAAAGGGGACAGTTAGTGGACCTCCACATCCATCTCTTTCTCGGTTGCAAAGACTGCCTTCATGGGCAGGATGAACAAGCCGCTGAGACTGACAACTGCCCTGCATTTTACGTATCACCAATGGGACTCAGTAACGTTTTTTTAATTAAACAAAAGAAAAACTTTGCCTCTGCATAAAATATGAAAAAGGAAACTGACCCTTTATTTGACTTAATTGCAAGGGATTAGGGCCTAAACAAGACAATCTCGCCTGTTCTTTTCATGCCTCCCTGCCAGTGCAGAATTGTTCTCTACAGCATCCTAAATTTTCCTTTAAAAAGCCATGTAATCCTTAGCCCTATTTTGTAGTTGGATATATGATGCCAAGTGCTGCTTCTCTCACCTTTGGTCAAGTAGCTGCAGATTGTTTTGTTTCTGTGTAGTCAAACTATACATCTAGAGGCTCAGTGCTGTTGAGTGAAATCACTGTCAAAACTCCCAGTGATTTTTGGTAGGAGTTGGACTAGGCCCTGAATTTTTTAAAATATTCCTTCATAAGTCAATCCTTCCAGCCCCTTTCATTATGTTTTTTTTCCCCTCCGTGTTCCTCAGATTGTGGCTCTGTTAAGTGTCGGAGGGTCCCAGAATGGTGAGTAGTGTTCTAGGAGTAACCTCACCAGAATTAGCCAGGCTGTGCTGCTTCTGCATGAGTGTTGGGACAGGTGCTCACAGGCCTGGCCCTCCTAAGACATGGATTGCTCCTAGACAGCATCATGAGGTGAATTAATTTTCTTCGGTTCCTGCCCTGATCACTGCCCTAATATGTGTCAGTTCAGTGGGAGTAGATCCTGGGCTGGAGGGAAGTGAGGAAATGTGGAGAGAATAGTGCTGAGTGCAATATTCCTGGTAGCCAGAACAGCAAGATCTGGAGAGAAAATGTCAAGAGAAGTAGGTAGGGGCCTTGCTACCCAGCTCAGTGGAGACCAAAGCAAAGCACTTCATTCATTTGCTAGGGCGCAACAAGACCAATGGCCAAAGTGATGGGGTGCCTGATTAGAAAGGGCAGATTACAATTCTGTTTTGATTATTGATAATGTAAATGACTAATAAAAGCAGCACCGTGGCACAGCATAGTACCTTTATGCAGCAAGTTTTAAAAGGGTTTGATGTTCTGGTCTGTATGTTATCCCCACAGAAATGTAGGCTGGTGTTTCCAAAGGAACCTAAGGGAATTGTGGATCCCTCTCCCACTGAGATGTAATTGAAAGGCCACCTCAGCTGCAGTGTTTCTTTCAAAGATGTGGCAGAGCACAGCTGCTGTACAAAGTACAGGTGCTAATGCCGAACACCAGGTCTGGGGTAGACGCTGTGAGCCAGGCCCTTACGCAGTGTCCTCTTGTGGCTAACCTCCTCCTGCCATTTCAGAGACCAGTCCCTATCACAGCTGTTAGGGAAGAATAATGGTGGGTGGAAGAGTGCAGAGGGAAAGGTGTCCAGCCCTGCATTGAGGATTAGTCACTGGGAGCTAAATCATCTTTATTAGCCTCTGCAGCAAACTGTGACATAGGTTTTCCCTGGCATCCTTCTGAGATCACAGTTAGCGAACGTCATAGCCAATATACAGAATGTGGGTAATAAAGAGCAATGAACAAGCAAAAGATGTCTGCTGTTTCTGCCGCCTTCCCACTACAGATGATGAGTTCAGCAGATCTTCCAGCCTCGGCACTGCTTGGCTGCAGCTTACCAAGCAAAAATCTAGGATGCTGCAGAAAGTGGTGGTGATGGCTCCACAAGAGGAGATACTCCTGTGAAGTCAGTATTGAGCAAGTGCCCAAGGCCACTGGGATGCATGAAACATGTTCCAGGGAACATCTAGACTGCAATGACAGTGTGTGACTGCAGCTTGTGTATACCTGAGCTAGCTGAAGTCTAGCTAGATTGTGTCCTGGAGCCCTGAGGCTGTGGCAGCACGAGCTTTAGCACAGGTTAGTCCTACAAGTAATTACTCATGGTACATCCTGGTGGGCTTGGACAGCCAGATTCTGACCGACTGAGATGGCACAGTTGTGCTGTAGCATTGCTGCAAATGTCATGGAGCAAATTCCCTTGGTGTGCCACTTCCTGGACATGTGCCTCTGGCACCGCCTCCCTCAGGACACAGGCCTAGCGAAGGAGGTTAGAAGAGTTCCCCTCCACAACCTGACACCGCTCTGGAGTCCAAGCCCTTCATCTTGGGTGTAACTTAGAGCTGCCCGGAAGCAGCTGTACATAGAGTCAGGGACAGGGCTGGGCCTTGGAGTTTGGGGCACACCTTTTCCTTCCACCTCTCTGATATAGAGAGCAAATGTGCCCCCTAAACTAAATAGACAGGCCAGGTTGCAATTGTCAAGTGTGTCGTGAATCGGCCAGACTGGCAGTCTTTAGGTGGCCAAGAGATTGCTCGCTTTGCAGAAGGCATTAGAAAGGTGTTCCACTCCTGGCTCCGTCACTCACTGTGTGAGCAGGAACCACAGTGTCACTATTGGCTCAATAGAGGTGATGATACTTCCCTCCTTCACAGAGCATTTTGAGAGTTGCTGATTTAATGTCAGCCAGGCATTCTGAGATCCTTAGACGAAAAGTATGGCTGCTACAGTGTCTTTCTGGGGCTAGCTGCATACTGTATTATCTTATGCGAGTCCAAGCTGTCCTGCTAGCCAGTGTGTCTGTAAGTTAGTGCAGCAACAGATCACTGTTAATTTCAATTGCATTTAAAACCAGGCAGTGGAATCAATCTTGGCCTATTAGACAAAGGCAGGTCGAGGAAATATATTCCCAGATGCCGGAGAAAGAATTTCACTGCAGAGTTAGGGAAGAGTGAAGGGAACCCTGCAAACAAACAAACACTCAATAGCGTCCGTATATAACACTTGAACTGTAATTTTTCCATTTAGCTGTCAGTCACTCTGCTCACTCAGCTTAGGAAACTCGTGTTCCCCTTCCAAAATGACTCCACTGCTCACGCAGAGAGCAAACTGCCAGCGATGCCAAATTTACAGAGTCATTAATTAGGTAAATATGACAGGAAGACACAAAGTGTAAAGTGTTCAAAAAACCAGCGTGACATCACTTCAGACTGTTGACACAGGTACTTTCCATTTATATTCTCCTGCACGGCACACACAGCATGAAGGTGCTTAGTGGACAGGATATTTAATTAATACATCTACACGTATCAAGGTTGCATAACACATGCGGATCGAAAGTCAAATATCCAGCAATTGGGAAAATGTTAGTTCTCCGTGAGGAATCAGCATAGTGGCAAATTTAAACAGGGCTTAATTTCCAGAAGGACAGTGCACAGAGCAGAGGACTAAAAGGCAGAGCAATGCTGCGTTCCAGTCTTGTCACTGGTACTTGGGTCTATGGAGAGGTCATCTATGAACTGAGGCTAGCAAGACTCTTACATGCAGGTTGTACCGATGAATTGACGTTCAGAGACATTGAAGAGGAAAAGAAGGTGAGTGGTTAGGTCAGTGGACTGGGACTTGGGGAGCTAAGTTCAGTTTCTGGCTCTTGCACATCTTGTGTGACACTGGGCAAGTCAATTAGTCTCCTTATCAGTGGGGCTGATAGCCATCCTGGGTCCCAGGGCAGGTGTGTGTGGGGGGTGATCTGTGCCCCCAGGAAGGGCGGGGCTGAGGGTGGAAAGGGCGTGGTAGCCCTCAGCACTGTCCAGACAAAAGCATTTCACACCTCCTGCCCCTCAG